AGGGGTGCGGGGGGGGGGGGGGTGTTGACTTGCCCGTGGTAACTCTAGCAGCGCTAACCCAGAATGAGCCATTGACAGGAATTTTGGGCCATGCCAGGTCCCAGAAGGCTGAGCTCTAGGAAATGCCTGAACTGAAGGGGAGCAGCTGCCCAGATCTGGTGTGCAGGGTAGGGGCACATGGGACAGTCCTTAGTGGATGCCAGAGTCTAACGTCTTTCCTCTTGACTCTCCTGTGATCCAGTCTCCCCCGAAGGGTGTCACCATCCCATACCGGCCCAAGCCATCCAGCTCTCCGGTCATCTTTGCAGGCGGCCAGGTAAGGCCCTTCCTCGGATTGCTGGGCGTAGGGTGTGGGAGAGGAGGTACCTGCCAAGCTGCTACACTGCCAGCACACATTCGCCCACTCTGCATGCTTGTCAGCCACACTGTCTCCCTGGCCAGCCTAGAACTACCTCTGCTGCTTTGGGTGGATTCTTCTGAGCACTCCACAGCCTGTTCCCGCCCAGCGGGCGCTGGACACTGGGCGCACAAGGGGCTGCTGTAGAGCGGGTGGTGAGGCAGGGACGCCCGTCTTGGCACCGGGTGCCTGGGGAGCCAGCCCAACGCCTGTGGCATTCAGCCAAGCTCCCAGAAACTGAGCTTCTCAGAGCAGCATCTGCCTCTTCTACTGGGGCACGGCTCGGGATCTGGTGCTCGCTGGGTGGCAGCAGAATGACCCCTGACCCCGAAGCAGCAGGGGTTAACGTTGGGAACAGGTGACCATTGGGGAACAAGGGAGATGCTGGGCTCTGTACTAGAACCAGGGAGGAGGTGTGATCTCCGCCAGACTATGTGGGTGTCGCCTTCTAAAACAAGCAAGTCTTGGCCACTGCTGGTACAAGCTGACTCAGGGCACATGAACAACTTCAGCACCATGCCTCCAGGGCCACGCAGATGGGTGCCGGCCCAGGCTGGGGCGCCGTACAAGGCATGTCAGGGTGGTTCGGAGTTGACTAGCTGTGAAGCAAGGCGCTTTTGTGACGGTTACCGGTAGGACAGGACGGTAAAGCCTCTTCTCTCATGCTGATTTCAAACCCGTGCTTGGCAGCGTCTGTGAGGAGTTGAGTCGCTTTGATGCTTCAGACTTGTCCTGCGAGTCGTTTGGCTTCCAGTTCAGACAGTTGTGTGTGGGGATGGGGGGCTGTGGCAGGGAAGCCCTGGAGTCCCCATAGCCTGCGAATACGCTTCTGCACAGCCGGTGCCTCCATGCGGGACAGGGCCAGAGCCCGTAGTGGTTCCAGGTGGAAAACCACCCTTCCCTAATGTCCAGGACTCCGTGCGTTGAGCAGAGGCGTATGTGGTGCCTGGCATGCAGCTTCTAGCAAGGTACCAAAGGGGTAGGAGCGCGTCCCTAGAACCAGAGCTACATGAGAATATGCCATGTGTTGGGATAGCCTGCTGTTCCCCCCAGCAGTCTGGGATTGGGAGCAGTTCTGTTGCCTTCTTGTTCCTTGCCCCGTCCCCATTCCTCTCCCTCTCCGTTCAGTTCCCTGCTCTCCAAAGGCCTTGGCAGCTGGTCAGGCAGCATCTGCCAGTGGAATGGCCCATGGGAGGTGATTGGAAGACCTGGTGGCCCAAGTCTTTGGCTCTTGCAAACAAAGGACTTTCCTGGCGGTTAACTCTGCAGCATGCGAGCGGGCTGCCTCGCCACCAGAGCAGTGAGGAGCAGGCTCGTCTGGGCTGCGTTCTTCCCCAGGCGCCCCACCGCCAGACTCACTCGGTCTGGCTCCCCGCGGCGGTGTGCTTCTCGGCGGCAGTGCCGCTGACCTTGCAGCTTGGAGCGAACTGTCTGTCCAGCCCAGGGTCAGCCCTCTAAAGCAGAGTAATTTCGGTGTGACTTTCGTAGAAGCGGAAGGTTTTGGATTGACAGCCCTGGAGACTGAAGTCCTCTAATTTATCCACAGGACAGGTACAGCAGCGGCAGTGCAAGCTACCCCCACACCGCCCCATCCATGTGCCTCAACTCTGACCTGGAGGGACCACCTCAAGAGGTGAGAGGGGAGTTCAGTCTCCATGGCCCATTCAATCCTTGGCCTCTCTGAGACTGCCCATGGGTGGCAAAATCTGCACTGGCCTCCTCCGTACTGTGGACTCCTGTCCACTGGGACTGGCTTCAGGCCCCAGCATCTCCACACAAGCCGACTTGGTCAGGCCAGGCTGGGCTGCAGCCTTTGCAGTGAGGCCCTCCCGTTAGCCAGCCAGTTGTCCCTGCCCGGTGACCAACCCTCCAGGGGTAGCGGAGTAGGAAGCTGAGCTCTGGTTTGCACCCTTCATGGAACCAGCCGGTCAGCCTCCTGCCTCCTTCTCCTGACAGCCTTTAGCATCAGCTAGCATGGTTAGCCTGCGCCTGGCATTGCCTTCCGCTCTAGTGTGTGCAGGGCCGTCCTTAGCCGTGTGGAGTAGTGAGAATTCTAGCGGTCTCAATACCTTCAGACTCCTGGGTGCTGCCGGGGCACTAGAGCTCTTTCCTTTCCTCCGGGGTGGCCGGGGGCGTGTGTGCAGGGCAACGCCGGGGTGACTCTCCAATCACACGATACACCTTCACTAGAAACCAACTCTCATTCTTGTCTGACTCTTCTTGGGAGGGGGGCGACGCACCGATCACCCCCTAGTCCACATACTGCCAATTCAATTAACACCCCCTTTAGAAACTGCCTGTTATGTCCCCTTTGCCCTCTTCACCTCCACCCACAATTTTCTCCACTTTGGCTCTCTGGCTTCCTGGCTGGTTGAAATCTGTCTGTCACTGGGTGGCTGTCCGATGGTTTTAATAGGACTGTTTTCCTCCTTTTTGTAGGCCTATACCATTCAAGGACAGTATGCCATTCCACAGCCAGATGTAAGTTTTGTTTACACTTCTTGTCTTGAAATCATCCCTTCTCCCTTCCAAAATTTCTCTGTGCTTTCTCAGTGCTAACAGCCAGCGCCGTCTGAAATCAAATCTGATCTTTAAGCCCCAAAAACCCTCAAATTATTTGCACGTCTCAGTAAGTTTCAAACCAATCTAAGATCTGTCCCCCTTTCCTCCACACGCAGACACCCTGAGCTTGGCGCTGTGCACGAGCTACAGCTCTCCCCTTTTGCAATTGGGCACAGAGCAAAGTCCACAAAGAGAAAGCAAAACAAAACACAGCAGCATGGTATACTGTCATTGTGGTTCTCCGGGCAGGGCGTGGGACCTGTGTAGCGAGCTGGAGGGGTGAGCGGTAACCTGTCTCCATGATGCTGAATGCATCAAGTCCTCAATCCTTTCTGTTGAGGTGGTGGCTGGCCAGGCAGGAGACTGGCCAGCACTGGGCTTCCGTTTCTAGCAGAGTGAGGAAGCTGTGACTCTAGCCGTCCTGGTGTCCTGACTTGCAGTGTGAGCATCTCCCTTTGGCCTGGTCCCTCCCTTGTCAAGTAGGCGCAGAGCTAGACGGATGTGCTCCGACTTCTAAAGGCAGGGCTGCTGAGGCTGGTCTCTGCTCATGGCATACGTAGGGCAGGGAAGAGCTGGCTAGGAATGGAAATACTAGGGATTACTGATTTGGGGCAGGGAGGGTATGGAGGTTAAACACTGACTCTCTCTCCTGGTCTCCCTTCATAACATACCTCTGTCTTTCCAATGCTTCACAGACCCCTGCATGGTGTGTGCCGCACCACTGCAGCCCTGTCTGTTTACCTCGCCTGTTTGTGCTTGTCTCTGGAGCATTCCTGTCGCAAGGACTGCACATGCTCGCAATTAACCAGGGCACTTGGGGCTGGGCGTTGGCTTTGCACCTCTGCAATGCTTTCCCTCTCTCCACACCCATCCGCGCAGGGCAAGCATTGCTTACCCAGCTGTCTCCTCTGCCCCCAGGGGGTGGGCCGGGGGTGTGAAATGTGGAGTCTGACCTACCTAATCCCGGCCTTCTTCTTCTCTCTAGCTGACCAAGCTGCACCAGTTGGCAATGCAACAGTCTCACTTTCCAATGTCTCATGGCAACACTGGATTCAGTGGTATGGAAATTAACTTTCTTCTGTACGGTAGTGGGGGCCCGAGTACAGCCCACGAGCCACCGCTTGGCCTCTCACGCAGCCTCATGGCTTAATCTTCGCTAGTGTCTGGGTAGCCACCCAAGGTACCAGTTCTGCCAGACCCTGCAACGGAGTGGGGCAGCTTGCCTGCTAGATCGGCCTAAAACAGGCAGGGCCTTCATGTTGCTTCCTTCACCCCATCCTCCCCAGTTCTGCCAGTGCACTCCCCTTCTCAGCTGCCGCTACACCCTCTCCCCGCCGGCTCTTCAGTCCTGAGCAGTCGACTGCTGATTGTACCGAACTTGTCGTTTGTCATGTGGCTAAGATGTCCATTAAGGCTTTAGGCTGAGACCACCAAACTCATTGTCACTTGTATCTTAACAGGCATTGAATCCAGCTCTCCAGAGGTGAAAGGCTATTGGGGTAATGATGCAAAACCAAAATCTGTAGTATTCTATTGTGTACTAATACTGGTCAGTCGCGTTCCCCTTGGGGGAGAAACCTTGCCAGCAACATGCACAGGGGGCGACAGGAGTTTGAGAAGGGCTGTAGGTGCTGACTGGCTTGAGAGCACTCCGGTCTTCCCTTCCCCACCAAAGAGGCCAGCTGGAATCTCTTCCCAGCATGATCAGTGTCTGGCTAACCCACCCCTCTAGGAACCAGCAGAAGCCTGTCGGTTCCTAACCGCTCTCCTGGTGAGGGGAATCTTTCTGTAGCTGCTAGGCTGGATCAGGTGACTAGTCTCTTGCCCCTGCCTCTGGTGGCAGACAGATGCTTCCAACACCTCCTGGTGGTGTCTCACCTTCACGCTGTGGTGGCCATGAGGTGAGCAGGGTTTGCCTTCCTGGCCATGATCCCTTGTGTGGAGAACTCAAGCCCTTCCTTCGACACGGGATGGAAAAGTCAGGCCCTGCTGGGGAGGGAGCAGCTCGAAGAGTTAGTTATGGCCACAGCATGCAG